TGACTCCAGAGCAGCTGGGAATCCGTTCAGTCGGTGTTTGTTTCCTGCTGTCACATTCCGTGCTGTCAGTAGTGCCATAGCCACGTTTGGGTACACAAACACTCTCTGAACTATTATACGCTGCATGTTAAATGTGCCACAGTATTCCCTAAACTCGCTTACATGTGTGTGTACAGGTTCCAGGCTGTCTCACCTGATAGCCAGGCCCAACAGGCAGGGGGACAGCAGCAGCTTGAGAGGTGGGACATGTTTTCTGCTGAATCTCCTCCAGCTTTCTGTTTCTTATTCAGTGTAATCCATGTCTCCATCTCTTCTTTTCAGACTCAGCGTGGCAGATTGAACCTCAAGGTTTCCAGGAGCTGAAGGCTGAGGTGACGGAGGTCCCTGCTCCAGATGGATCTGAGGAAAATACAGGTCTCTGTTTGACATATTCTTGCTTATTTCTACCTAACAGACCATTGTGATTGGTTTCGAATTATGTTTTAGCCCATGTTATGTTAAATCACCAACCATGCCGCAATGTTTAAATACTTTCCTCTTACCTAGAAATATTTTGAGAAAAAGTTGATGAATCTGACAGAACCTCATTTAGCTAGTTAAGCTTATGGAGTGTTGGACCACTAATGGCACTATGGAGGAATGTTATTAGAAGAAGGTCCCTGTTTTTTGTATCGTGCATGCCATCAATGTTACACTTTCCAGCTGCAAGATTCCCTTTATTCCACCTACTGACACGTTAACTCTTAAAGGTCCCATGTCATGGCCATTTCTACTGATCATAATTCCATTGTTGAGGTATACTAGAATAGATTTACATTGTGCAATGTTCCAAACTCACATTGGTTTCTCATACAGCATCTCTGTATAGTATGTGTATTCACTCTCTGTCCTAAACGGCTTGTTGGAGCTCCTGCTCCCCCCTCCCTATGAGCCCACTGTGCTCTGATTGGTCAGCTCACCCACTCTGTTCTGATGAGTCAACCACCGTTAGCCTAAGTACGTTTTTTAAGTTAGCCTATCATCCATCCTTACTATGGCATTTGCCACTTGATTGACGTACAGGTAAGCCAGTCTGAGTTGTATTGTGCCATACGGGTTCATGCAGTTATGAGGGGGCCTCACCTCCTCATCTGCGCTCGCGACACAGATTGGGCAGGGGCGGCCCCGTAGGTAGATCTTTTGGGCTTGGTCATTTTAAAAGTAGCTCCCAAGCTGAAAAAGTGTGGGCACCCCTGGTTAACATGCATAAAAACCTTCATAACACACAAGGGGATGGGTAATAACCGGAAAAGCATGACATGGGACCTTTAATGCAAAATGCAGGGAAAGTCTGCAACTAGCCTGAGAGGACGTAAAGAATAAATAAATATTTGCAAATGTTTTATGAGTAGGGAAATATATAAAAAAATATGTCATTTTTTACAAGGCACCTTCTGGAACAAAACTGTGTTTAGGAGAAGTTTCATGAAGTCCCAAAGGCTGCCTGTAAAGTTCCTGAAAAATATATTTAAAAGCTGAAACTTACAAACATCCAAGTATATACAAATCCAGAGCTGGCAGCTAAACCAACCCCTTCCCCTTCTCCCTCCTCCCCCTATGTCTATCTGACCTGGCAAACATGAAACTTATCCCCCCCTGCTGACAGCTTCAAAGCAAATACTGCTATTAATACTGCAGCATTTGGGGTGAGAATACCAGAGTCATGCCAATCCAGAGGTATGGGGGCCTGCCCGTGATTCATGTTTATCTTGTAGGGATAAGGGAAGTAAGCGCCTAACGAGGGTGTCATACACACACAAACACAAACACACACACACACCGTTGATGCTTCTCCCCTCCCAAAACCACACCCTTGCTTGTGCTTGATTGTTTTGGAGATCATGGAAATACACATGCAGTAACCACGTAAAGTCATATCATCTCTGACGCAGACAGATTCACAGAAGCTACATGGCAATGTGTGTATTTATAAAACATATTCCTTTCTAACCCTTAATTCGGTTCTACGCCCTGGACCTGAGAGCGAGGGTGTATTTTAGGAAGTGGTAAATATACAGCCGGCCTTATCGTTTTCCCACCACAGAGATCCCACCCAGGATGAGTTGTAGCCCAGTTGCTGCTCTGTTGGGTGTGACTCGGACAAAGCTGAGGCTAAGGGAGATGTCAGGCAGCATCTCTCGGCCTGCTGTCTGCCTCCATGATGAGAAACAACCTAATTTTACCCCTGAACAGCTCTCAGATGACGCCCTTTGTTCCACTGCAACTTACATGTAGATCCCCTTTAATGTGTTACACCTACCATGTGACTTTTGTGTCCTGAAGTCACCTTAAGTGGAACAAAAATCTTTTATTTGAGGATGTTTTTCAAGAAACCCAATCGTAATGTTTCTGATCAATGGATTTCCCCAACCCTAGACCTAACCTTAACCAGTCATCTCCGTGACTCCTAAATAGAAGTCAAAGTCCTAAAATCTCAACAACAACGAGCACTGCCACAAGAAACATTATTGAAGGGGAAACAGGAAACAAGAGCTTAAATCTTTTTGATTATGTCAACTAGAGTTAGAGTTTTGTTCGCATATTACACGTAGTTTATAAATTCTTCTTATCTTATCTTCCTGCCTACAGGTTGTGGGGATGTGGTCTCAGTAGGTGAGCCGGTCACTCACAGGAAGGCCGACACCATAGCAGGTAAATATGGAGTTTGGATGCAGGACCCTGAGGCGGTCTCCCCGTACGGACCCAACATGATCTGGCGCATCGACACCATAGGCTCTGATGTCAGGCAGCTGTATGGATATGAAAACATGGAACAACTCACTAAAGGCTTTCCGTCCAAGGTTGGTGTCACATAATGATATATGTTCAAAAAGAAGTTAATTCCTAGTTATAACTTCCTGTTGGGGAGGAGGAGGTGGCATAGGGTTAAATGGGCATGTACCAATCCAATTGTCAGTGGTTTGATCCGTAGCCCCAAAGGCAACATGTCAATGTCAAAGTGTCCTTGGGCATCATACTTAACCCTACAAATGCTCTGTGCCATTGAAGTGTATTTAAGTCGCTCTGGATAAACGGGACACGTATGACATTGTATCTTAATGTTTTCCCACGACAGGTGCTGCTGTTGCCCGAGCTGGTGGAGAGCACTGGCTCCACTCTGTACCGAGGCTCTCTGTACTATCAGAGACGTCGCAGTCGTTCCCTGATCCGCTTCGACCTGGCCTCCGAGAGCATCGCAGCCCGCCGGGAACTCCCCCACGCCGGCTTCCACGGACAGTTCCCCTACTCCTGGGGCGGGTACACGGACATCGACCTGTCTGTGGACGAGCAGGGTCTGTGGGCCGTGTACTCCAGCAGCAAGGCCAAAGGAGCCATCGTGATTTCACAGCTGGACCCAAACAGTCTGGAGGTGAAGAGGAGCTGGGAGACCAACATCAGGAAGAACTCGGTGGCTAACTCCTTCATCATCTGTGGGAAGCTGTACACCGTGGCCAGCTACACGTCCCCCGACACCATCATCAACTACATCTATGACACTAGAACCAGCCAGGGGAAGTCCGTGGCCATCCCATTCAAGAACAAGTACCGCTACAACAGCATGATCGACTATAACCTGGCTCAGAGGAAGCTGTTTGCCTGGGACAACTTCCACATGGTGTCCTACGACCTGAGGCTGGGCCGCCAGGAGTGACCGAATAAGATAAAGTGACATTTGCCAACCTGTTCCTGCTTCAAAGACTCAGAGTTTTAGAGCATAATTGTGTATCTGGTAGTAGTAGTTACAGTGTAAAGCCAACACTATCTGTATCAACGTGTAGAAGAGACTAACAAAAATGAAGACGTTTGAGGAACCCCCCAGGTGGGCTTTTGCTGTGGCACGGCCAACAATGTTTTTAGAGGAATTATTTTTGTACCGCCTTTAATTCAGATGTATTATTTTGTTGTTTTCTTGATAAGCTATATATATTTGAGGACTGAAAGATGATAATTAATGCATAGTTTATAAACTCCCGTTTTTACCTGCCCTGAAGTGTTTCACCATTCTACATATTTACATTAAACTGCTCCCTCACTCAGCATGTACTGAATATTGCATGCACGTGTACAATGTAGTCAACATAATGACTTGTTGAAAATCATCATGAATTAAATGTCCTAAAGTACTAAGGTTTATGTGGTTATTGTATACCTCAGATCATTATTTGTACCACTTTATCAAGTAGTAAGCAATAACCTTAATAATATACATCACTAGTTGGTGCAAATAAAGACCATGTATGTTCAGATCTAGTGGTGAAAAATGTTTTTTTTATCTCCTTTTCTTAAAGACTAATAAAGTATTACTGGCTGGATTTTCAAAAAAGAAAGAAAATCCATCCAGTCTCATATTGGGTTGCTTTTCTTGGCTTGTGAAAAGTTAGCATTTGTTGGTATGTGGCTCTAACAGAAGTACAAACTAAAGCTTTATTAATCAGTTGTAGGTAATTCATTGCTGTAGCCAGGCGGTGATAAGCCGCTCTTGCTGTTGACTCATGAAGTCAAGCCATTAAAAACAGTCAACACTTTGCAATAACCTATAAGAAAAAAGTCATTTGAAGCTACTATATAAATGTTAAAAGGACATTAATACATGCATCAATTTAATCAAGCCTATTATATCAAGTGTGCACATTTCTATATTGTAGACCAGATGGCTTGCAGCCTTTAATTGACAAACTGCAGATAGATGAACAGTTAAAACCTTGCAATGCAAACTTTTTTATTATTTATGACTAGTAACGTATCTATATAGCATTATTTAATAACTGTATCATTGATGAATTTATTTGTTCTCCAATAAACCCTGTAAAAAGGGTGCCTCATTGAAACCCAAATATTGCATTCATAGATTTTCCATATTTAAGCACTCATTTAAATTGTTAGGCATTGTAGTGACACCTAGTGGAAATAAACAGTGGAAGGTGACTTCAAGAACAAACCAGGCGTCAGTGAAAAACATCTCAACAGTATATTATTTTTATTAGTTTCTGTAACCAAACCAAGAGAATGTAAATAAGACCGTACATATTTTAATACAGCGATGAAACCCCTGTACAAGTTCAACAAAAAAAAATAAAACAGAGGAAAAAAATATCGTTACCCTCCCTCCCACATCCATCCTCCAAAGAAGGACTCTTCCCCCAGCTAGGGTGGAGGTGAGGCGGACCCCTCCCCACCTCAGGGTGCATACTACTGTACAGTTCTGAAGGACCCTTGTCACCACAACCCCGAGATGAAAGCATTGTGGGTGGACAGCCAGCGGAGGTGAGGCAGAGACAGAAAACAGCACTGATTGCTCTTTTTCAGTAAAGCCAACAATACGTGTCCTTCTGCCCAAACATTTCTGAATTTTAGGCTTTTTAATATTTTTTTTCCCTCCTTTTCTGTCCTGTTAATGTCCCCCTCTTAGTGAAGGTTGACATACAAACGCTTAAAGTTTTCTACCGTTTCAACTCCTTACCTTTTCTTTTGTTTCCTCTAAAAAGCCCTATCCTGCTATTGTCTAGCTAAGGGCACTGAAATCCGTCAATAGCAGCAGGCCTGGGTGTTTTATAGTGAAGTGTGTATAGGTGTGTGTTTGTGTGACAGCAAAGATAGGAGGAAGCAGTGAAAGGGTGTGTGACAATAGCTCCTAATCTGGAACAGCTGTATGTAGTGATCATACATTAGCCATGTAATCCCGTGAGTTAAATCAAAACTCTGCTGCCATGGCAACAGCAATCCCAAAAAGGCTGTGACGTCATCTCTCTCTTTTTAACCTTTGGCTAAATAAACAGGAGAGTCCAGCTACGAGCGTTCCCCGTTTAAAGCACAAACACACACCTGACACACATCAGTGATTCTCAGGCAAGGAGATGAGAGCAGAAGGCAGGAGCGCAGGCTCACAGGCAGACTTATCAACAAATCAATCATTAATTTCCATCAACTGCTGTAATTTTCACATTTCAATTCTGGTAAAACAAAAATGACGAGAAGTCCTCTTATCGGTAACCGTGGATGAAACCGTTAGTGAGTGTGTGCGTGTAGTATTGAGGGCCATTTACACGTGCACAGATCACTTGATTAATTATGATGGGATATTGGGCAACAAAAAGTGTGCATCGCTAAATGACATCTCCTTAAACAGATGATTTTGACTACAAAAACAAAACTTTCTTCTTTCTTTAACAACAACAGGTTTCTCCTACAATATGCTTGATCCTATTGGGGAAACAAACAAAACAAATCAAGAGCTATAAAAAAAAAAATGGCAAACTCAGCAGCAAATCTCATTTCAAATTTCTCTTTCCAACCGTCTCAGTAGATTTCTATGGAACAACTTCTGCGGCCATTTTATCGTCATCTAAATACGATGGAAGAATCCAACTCAAATGCCGCCACCTACAGTGGGACAGGATAGGAGAAGAAAGAAGAGGATTATGTATTCGCAGGACAGTGCCTCCTCAGTAACCACTACCATCGACTCCCCCCCCCCCACACACTGTCCCCTGGGGCTGATATGAGGTGGTGACTGAGTGAATGGGGCTAGATTCTCTCTCTTCCATCCATTCATATTGTCATCTGAAGAGGTTCTGCAGCTCTCTACTTGCCATCCTCTGGTTTGATGGCCTGCGGCTTTATGGGGCCAGTCCGAATGGGCTTGGCCGTGGAAATGGGGGGTTTGTCGGATTCGGGGCGGTCGACTACTGCCTGGTGGTTCGGGGCAGAGGTCTCGAGCAGGGGTTTCCCCCCCTGATCAATCCGAGACACTTTGCTGACCTGCGGGGGCTTGACTTGCTGCTGCTCGGAGAAGAACTTATGAGTGGCCTGGAGCACCTCAGCCCGCTGCTTCGCCTGGAGAGTAAGGGCACAAATCTAAAATCAGCAAACTCACCCAACACTGAGGACAAAGACTAGTCTGTTAAACTAGGATAGTTGGGATTGTTTCATTTTGTGTTGTATGAGGTACTTGGTTGGCATGCCCTAGTCTGGAGAAGGGATTACTGGCAGAGAAGCTAAGTGACGTACTGTTTTGGAGAGGCAGCAGCAAAACATCTGAAAATAATATAAAATACATGAGTTTATGCTATATTTAGACTATTCTCACTGCTTTACCTTGCCTTCAGACAGCTCTTTCCTCAAAGCAACTTCACTCATAAGCAAAAGCAGTCATTGTACCTCACAGAACACGGGAGTTGGTGGTCCATCAGTTCTCAAGGGTTAGTTATTGTGCATTGTGTTGGGTCACACAATAAGATGAATCCATCACTGAGGCAATGGTAGATCAGCAACCTCTGTGTTCTGCTAGGTTCTTTTGTCGATGGAGTCTGGTAACTTGGTTGGTTATTGGTCTTGACAGAAAGGTAAATATAGCGTACACTTAAACTGATTTCCATTTTATTTAAGGTTGGTGTGTTTACTGTTGGCTCCTGTTGTACTCCTGTCTGTTTCTCCAAAATGGAGGCATACCAACCACCATCTACTATATGTAATGAACGGACTATAGAAAAAAGAAATCTATATACAACCCCCTGCAGACAATCCAAACTATCCCTTTAAATGAAACGAAGAACAGAATCAACGGATACATGAAGGAAGCAGACCTTTAGATCCTGTTCAGCATTCATGGCATGTGGGCCTCGGGGAGCCGGCGGGGGAGGAGGCCCTCGGGGAGGGTGCTGTGGGTGCTGTGGGTGTTGTGGATGTTGCAGGTGCTGTGGGTGCTGAGGGTGTTGAGGTCGGGGATGGGGCATGAGACCCCCACCCACATTGGTTGACATTGGAGGGCCCATAGGGGAGCGCTGGACACCTCCGGCAAACGAGTTAACGTGAGGAGGACGAATCAGAGGAGAGACCAGGTTGGGCTGAGACAAAATCTGGAGGAACAAACAGGACAATGAATTGGTGGTTAACAGTTGAGTTCCATGCTAGTGAACATTCTATAAACACTACTAAAATACAGGCTTTATGAAGACTGCTCTACCTGTGGGTTGAACTGGCCAGGGAAGTGCTGTGCCATCCTCATGCCGGCGGAGCTCGCCTGAAACTGCTTCTGGTACAGCATGCTGTTGATCTTACTGGACTGGCTGCTGGGAGAGGTGGAGCTGGCCCTGCAGGCAGAGGAGAGGGAAACCATGAAATCACACATGGTGGGTAAGTACCAGATACATTGACTTTGGTCTGTGTAGCACAAATGTGTACGACTAAGGACACAACAGGTAGCAGGGCCTTGCAAGGCTTGCACATTCCGAGTTTTGGTTCCAATTGTTAATCCACATTTGCGGTATGATAAGAATGTATGGGTGGTACCTGTAATGGCTGGAGGTGGGTGTAGTGCTCCTGGCGCCGATAGGAGGTGTTCCGGGCTTCATATCCATCCCACTGCCAAAGAGTTTTAGATCCATGTCCATCTGGAAGGTGACACCGCAAACAAACGTTACAACCACATTCCTACAAAATGTTAAATTAAATAGCGTCAGAGTCGCATATGTCTGCATTACCTTGCTGGTAGGGGGCTGCATCATGCTGTGGCTCGGGCCCATGAGGCCTCGGTACGGCTGGGAGATGGGGGGCTGTCGGTTGATGTTGGGAGGCTGTGCCTGCGGGGGAGTGGGAGGCAGCGCCAGGAGGGGCTGGCCTCCACTCGAGCCAAAGTTTGACAGCGACAGCTGGGAACTGGACAGAGGGACCGTCACCTGGAGAGAGATCAAGATGTTACATACCAACAACAGCAAATCATTGATGAGAAAACCATGCTGCTTTTCAGTTTAACATCAATGTGTGGATGAGTGGTAAACAACATAGGCTATAAATATGAGGTTTAAAGTTTTTATCACCGCGTTTGCTTATTGGTTACCTGTTGCATTGCAGAACTGGGCGACTGAGCGTTGCTATAGTAACTGCTCTGGCCGTGCTGTTGGACTTGCCCCGAGTACATGTTTGAATGCTGACTCATTCCCTGTCGAGCCTGCACCAAAGACAGATAAGTCTGATTGGATGTACACAAAATAAATCAAATACAGATGTCAGTATGAGGAAAAGATATGACAGTACAATACGGTAAATCAATTCTGGGAACAGACTGGTTACCTGCAGCAGGTGTGTGTCCATGAGCTGGGAGCCCCCCATGCCAGAGGGCTGGTTTAGCTGCGGCTCGAACAGAATGGGAATGTGCTGGGTGGAGGAGGCCTGCTGATAGGCCAGATTAGACTGAGGTTTGCCCAGATCAGGCGCCTGCACGCCAGCATAGCTGTGCAGGGAGGGTCCCGACAGCATCATGGAGGGCTGCGACAGGCTGCTCTGCATGAAGGCCTGCTGAGACCTGAGGATGGAGTGGGACATGGGTCAGAGGAGAGAATAATAGAGATGCACCCATCCATACACTGATATTGGTGGGGGAATCTTCTGTGTAGCAATGCATTGGGAGTCACCGACTCAGGAAGGAGACACGGTGAGAGTTGGAGCTTTTGATGTCAAACACTGATGGGTTTATTTCAGAGTATCGGCCGGAGGATTCACATCACAAGTCAAAGAGTCAGAGGTTCTGACTTCACGGTAGAGTTGCCACGTCAATTCTGAAGAGCCTCTCTCTATGCTAGACCTTTTAACTGGTTCACAGAGAGTAATCAACATCTCTGAAGGAGTAGACTAAACAGCTGGGAACACTGAACCACCTGCGTCCGACACTCATGGCCTCAAAGATTTCACATCTTAGAGTCCACAAACACCGATAAAGAAGTGCCTCAGCGTTCTCACAACAATTACCACTCGTGCCAGACAAGTTGACCGGTCACAACACATATGGCACCAAGGCCTTTCCTTAAAGGAGATAACAGACGTCAGAGTAGATCATAAAACGTCACAGAGCAAAAGGTTAGATATCTAGAAGAATTATTCCCTAACAATATCAATTATTTATTTAATCAGTGGACAATATCGTAACGCGCAGCTAAAATGGTTTCAGTGGAGTTGTGATTTAAGATAGACTGAGAGAAAAAACATGTTGTCTGCCAAAAAATAAACCGTTTTCAATGTATTTTATTTCAATACTTAGTATGCAATGCTGTTAAGAAAAGTTTTACAAATAAAAAGTGCTCCATCATCCAAAAAAAGCTTTAAATACAACATGTGATTGGAAGTCCAATGCTTCTTCCTAACTGGAGCAGCTTTAGAACATTAGAGTTGGAAATTGGGATACTGGCGCTTCTGCAGTGCTGCATATTTCCCCTGTGCAGTGCTGAGTGTTACCTGTAAGGCTGCAGTGAGGAACTGAACAGGTCCTGTGGTTGGGAGACTGGAGGACCGGCACTGAGTCCCAGCTGAGCCTGATGTTGATGTTGGTGTTGGTGTTGATGTTGTTGATGTTGGTGTTGTTGTTGGTGGTGTTGTTGTTGATGTTGTTGATGTTGTTGTTGATGTTGTTGTTGTTGTTGTTGATGTTGGTGTTGTTGTTGTTGTTGATGATGTTGGTTATGGTGTTGGTTATGGTGCTGGTTATGATGCTGGTGCTGGTGCTGCGGCTGACCCTGCAGTGGAGCGTAGATGGGGATTGGAATCTGCTGCACTGCTGTCGGCTAGAAGGTGGAGAAACACAGACAAGCAGTTTTACCTCCATGTTTAAAAAAACATTCTTGCAGCTTGTTTCTGACAAAGAGACAGTCCTACCTGCGAGAGGCCGGGCTGGAAACCTTGCTGCTGCGCCAGGGAGGGAGGTGCCAAGCGAGGGTGGGGGGCACTGAATAGGTGGCTAGTGTCCATGTAGAAGGCTGGAATCTGAGCTGCAGAACCTCAACATACAAGGGTTTGAATATTAGGAATTATGAACATAGTGAATCATCCAAAACATGAAACTGAAGGATCAGGACTATCAAAAGAACAAGCCGGTTGGTGTTTAAAGTATACATTTAAAGACATAACAAACGTCACAGTTCAGTGCCATGTTTCTCTCACCTGCTGCAGACTGAGAGACGTACACCTGGGGGGTCTGCTGCTGCTGGGGCAGGAGTGTAGGCACACAGCCCAGCTGAGAGAAGCTGCTGCTGCTACTGCTGCTGCTGGAGGACAGACCGCCACTCTGCAGCTGCTGGGGCTTCACCTTGCAGATGTTAGGGGGGTCCGAGGCTGTGGTGGTCTTGGTGCTGAGTGATGACGTTGTATAGGTACCAGAACCTTCAGGGTGGAGATAAAAATGTGTGAAACATGTACATCTTTGACAACACTATTGGAGATATAAGGCAGATGTTTACTGGGAGTCATGTTACCTGTCAGAGAGGTGCTGGGGGTGACAGAAGCCACGGGAATCTGTGGCATAGAGGCTGAAGAGAAGGTGGAGTACGAGGACGCACAGGATGTGATGGGGGAGGAAGAGGACACGACGGGGGAGTTCTTCTCCAGACTCGGGGAATTCTCCCACGCCTTACGAGCCGATTCCATCTGAGGAGGAGACAGAATGTAGCAGGTATTTAGGTAATGTTAAACTGAAACCTTTCTCAGAAGTACAGCACACTCCTGGTGTGTTGCTTCTCTGTGTACCTTTAGTGTTAGGTCAACAGTAGCAGGAGAGACATTGCTGAGGCTGGAGCTCTGCTGCAGGGTCTCTCTCCGAGGAATGGGCAGTGAGTGGGGTAGTGCCACCTGAAAAAAAAAAAAAAAAAAAAAATATATAAGTCTTTGAATAATACCCAGTTTTTATGATTAGAGTAGTTATCCTGTGAATAAGAACTGTATGGCACAGACCTAGAAAATAAGGATGTACTAATCGCAATTTTAGCCTGCCACAATTACGAAACATAAAAACGATTATTTTGCTTTGCTAGGTTGTGACAGTGCACGGCAACATATTTGATCTAATTTATTTGTATTTATCATATTTATATATGTTTAGTAGCTTGTGGAAGTGCGCTCCAAAATATGTGTTGATCTTGTTTATTGGTATTTATTATTTTGATATTATTTATTTTAAGGTAAATATAAATGTATCATTTTCTTATTTATTTTTGTATTGGTTTTTCAGTTGAATTATACGTTCAGGGTAATCAACAGTTAAAAAGACACTGTTGAAATTATTATTTGTATTTGTTTTAAAGTTCAATAAATTGATGTTTTCAAAGTCAATGAATAATTGTATTTAATAATCGTGATCTCAATTATTGACCAAAATAATCGTGATTATGATTCTTGACATAATCGCACAGCCCTCAGTGTACTCACATTTGCCACCAAACTCTCTTCCATTTTATTCACTCCTGTAGGAACACTGTCAGCCAGTGAGGAGGAGGGGGTGGTGTAGTCGGTGACAGACTCCTGAGAGGGAAAGACATATATTCTGTTAATTCAGACATGTTTTTGTGCAGCAATATTACTTTTATATTGATAGAGGTATTATTTAATTGAAATTCACTTCTATTGTGAGCTAGTAAAGACAAGACTTGGTTATTAATTCAACACACATCATAATCATTACTTTAACCACACGCCCAGAGGTTAAGTGATTGCTTCGCTCAAATCAACTATCATACAAGTAGATTACAAAAAGAAAGCCTAGCTGTGTGATCATGTGACTCTGATGTACCTTAGAGTTGCTGTGGTACTCTGCAGAGGGGATTGTGATCATGCCCTCGATGTCTCCTCCCAGCTCTGGTACTGTCTCGCTGCAGGGTGGACTGGAGTCTGTGGCTCTACTGACTCCTCCAGGGACTCCTCCCTCCATCCCCTCTACATCTCCACGTGCGTCTTTGGCCTTGCGGTTCTTCAATGAGCGCTCTTTACCAATGGGACCTGGCTTGTACTCCTTGGTTTCCACTGGTTCCATTTCAGGAAGCTGAGGAGTCGGATTTACACGATTACAATGGTGTTTTTATATCGAACAATTCTAAAACCAAAACAACAATGTATGATGGCTAAACTACCTTCTGTGTTTTGATTGGGCCAGCTCGAGGTTGTTTCTGTCTCTGTTCTTTGGGAGCGGGTAGTTTGTTTTCAGACATGTTTTCTAGCAACGCTGGAACTCCATCACTGTCGGTGCTGCCTGCAGATGACGGCGCTCCAAACTGAATACTGTCTATTGCCATTTCCACACCTCCCTCCGATCCAAGCTTCATACCCTGAAACACAACATTTTTCAAGTTTAATAATTGAGTCTAAGGATTATACACTCAACCAAAGACGGGACGTATTCCACATACCTCAGAGGAAACCGTGCCAATAAAGGAGGTAAGGGGTTTGTTCCAGGCACTCACAGAAGGTGGCTGTGGAGGGCTGATTGGACCAACTGGAATAAACACATTGCATATTTTAGACAAGTTTGCTGATTTATGAACTTAATCACAACATTAAGGACTCAAGCAAACATTTGTAACAATAATTGACTTTTCCACTCACGTTTCTTGACATCAGGAAGGACCGTGGTGCCTGCTACCTTGTTCTCCCACAGCTCTGTACCCAGAGTGCTGTGCGTCTGCACAGGTGCGGGGGGGAGGCTCTTTGAGGTAAAGTCCACAGTGGCAGGGGGGATGGAGGGCAGTGGAGCCACTGCTCCTTCCAGAGTCTGCGGGGATGCAGTAGGCTGGGAGGGGGCGAGGTGAGGATGCTGGGGGGCAGAAATTGGAGGTTGCTGTTGGGCCTGAGGTTCGGGGGGGACAGGAGGCTGAGACTGTGTAGCCTGCTGTAGCTGCTGTTGTTGCTGTTGTTGCTGCTGCTGTTGTTGTTGTTGCTGCTGTTGTTGATGATGTTTTGTTGTTGTTGCTGCTGTTGTTGTTGTTGCTGCTGCTGCTGCTGTTGTTGCTGCTGTTGTTGATGATGTTGTTGTTGCGAGGACTGCTTTTTGGCAAATCTTGGTGGCAGCTTTCCTCCGCCGCCTCCTCTGCTCTTCTCACCAGAGCCTTTTTTACTCCAGTTCTGTAGAACACAGTACGAGTTAGCAGTGCATGATGATATCAGAACATCAACTTTTCCAATAAAAAGGCTTTAAAGTAAGATATCGCAAAACTACTCCAATATACGATATGCCAAAATGGTACATTATCAAACAATTTGCGATTTAACATGCGCGTTACAGTTTACTCATTTTGCCTAGTGAACTTTTACATTATAAATGAAGTATTTTCATATCTGGAGCTGCCTCTGGGCCATCCCTTAAACAAAAAAAAAGGTATAATAATGTTTTATCCACTACAGAAACGTTTTTATTTCTCTGCAATTAGATAGTAAAAAAACATGACAATATAGTGCATCCATGACATGAGTATTAAGAGGTTATAGGGACTCAAATATGTCCGAATTATTATCATCCAAGTACTGCATTGCCGTTTCAGTTTATGTAAACCAAGTGGGCCAAGCTATCCCTTCTCTTACCTGAGGAGTCTGCTCTTCCTTTTTCCGTTTCTCTTCGTCTTGCAGCCGTTTCTGTTGCTTGCGGGAGACCACCTCTGTGAAGCCGTCATCAATGGTGTTGGACTGTGGGTCTTCAGTGGTGGTGACCTCAGGATGGTCATCGATGATCACAACACCTACAGAAGACGGGACAGAAGAGAATCAAGACATTTACATTCAGTTTTCAGGTTAAGAGGAGCAGGAGCCAGGTTTAAGTTCCAGGCTCAGAGTCAGGATAAAAATGTGTTTACGTACTGGCATAATTGTTAAGATCAAACTGAGAAAGAGCATTCTCTTTGGGCTTCTTGGCGGCCTGTTTGGCTTCATCTTTACGACGGCCAGACGGGTCTTTAGTAGGCCTCTGTGATGCTCCTCCAGGTGTTTGTGATGTCCCATCTGGATTCTGCTGGGCTGCAGGGCTGTTTGTATCAGAGACACATGTTAGAGAATAAAGGAAACATTGAAACCCTAACAGAGACTATGTGACACATTTCAATGTTGAATAGATCAACAGGGTGGTGGTGACGGAGGCCCGAGACACAAAGAGTGTAAACGTATTATGTAAATGAGAACAATTCGATTTGCGCAAAAAGCTATGTAACCTTTGTTTTATTCTAACTGTACTATAGACTACAAGGACCAAAGTAGCCACGAGACGGCAAGAGTGAAAAGACATTGACATTTTTTTTTAATGTGTTAGATTCCACTCAGGTTTCTTTAAGAATCAGAAATGCTGCTGAATAAGGTAAAGTGAGAAGATCTAAAAATACCAGCACACTGATGCCATATTTATAAGATTTTAACCAATACACTTGAATGGCCAATTACAGAGTAATCTACCTAAGATTAGAACCTATCAAATTCCAAAGCCCGTTTGGACATGCCATACCAACAGTTGTCTAAAATATGTAGATTCTTCACAAGTGATGCGCAGTGCAACTATTCATTAGACACACAACTACACAAGGGGTTCATTGTATGTAAATAAACCTGCAGTGTTATTCTACTGCACAATTTTGATTGAGTCAACGTCATTGTGCTAAGTGTTAATGTAAGCAGACAAAGTAAATGCCTAACCAAACACAAAAGTACGATTGTTCAAACTCACCCTTTGCGGCCGGCTTTGGCCCCTCCCCTCCTCTCCCCCTTGCCTCCTGCATAGCTCCGCACTGGTTTGGCTCCACTGTTGCCTCTACGATTCTGTCTCTCTGCAGGCCTTTGATTTGAGAAACTCCTCTTGGCTGCAGGAGCCCCGTCACGTTTTGGAGTCACCCGTCCATCAGGGGGGCTTCTGTTGGGGGTCATGGAGCCCTGGGGCGGTGCAGGTGCCTGGGCAGAGGCAGTGGCTGCTTCATGAGCGGCCTCGAGAGCTCCTTTCCTTTCTTCTCGCTCTCTCCTCTCGTTGAAGTCGCTGCTCTCAGAGGCGGTTTCCCATTCCTCATTGGCTTGATCTGAAGAGTTCTGGTTGGACAGGTCAGGGGATTTGGTTCCAACTGCAGTGATGGTGGGGCTGCTGGTGTCAGGCAAGGGTGCTTCCATAGAGGAGGACAAGTCAGGAGCAGGCATAGTGGCGGCCACGTCTGCAGGCACAGTCAGAGGGGTCCCCGGGGCCCTGGACAGGGTTGGGGAGTGAGACACTGGAGCAGGAGCAGAGCTGGGGACAGCAGCAGCAGGCACTGGGAGTAGAGGGACAGAGGGACCTGGGGCTGTTTCTCCATTAGCTAACACTGCAGCCTCCCGTTCCTTCAAGCGCCTAAAGCGGGGGGGTTTATCTTGCCTGGGGGGCCTTGCTGGTCTGGACCGCCGTGGTCTTTCTCTACTACTCTGAGGAGCCCCATCCAAAAATGTCTTGCCATCAGACCTAGGGGGTCTTCGGTCCGCAGCAGGATTGTCATATCTTTGTGAGGACTCTGTGTCCTCCGGCCTGAACGTCTCCATGGGTTTAGATGGCCACTGAGAGGAGGACTCTCTAGCACCTGGCCGTCTAAGAGGGCCCGGGCGAGGGCCACCACGTTCCCTTGTTCCACCTCGTCTACTATAAAGTCCTCCTCTTCCTCGTCGTGAAGGATCTCCCTTAGCAAGGAATCCTGGCTTGGGTCTGCTCTCATCGTCCCCTCTGTGTCCAACCCTTTCCCCCATGTGAGGAGGTCCAAAGCCTGGCTTGTGGGGCCCAGGCCGGGCCTCCCCAGGGAGCTCTCGCCTCAATGGACGGCTAGGTTTGGTGCTAGGCTCACGATCAGAGGGTCCGGTATCACTGGCAGACTCTCTTCCACCTTCACTCTCAGAATCTGTGTTTGAACCCCGGCGCCGTCTACGTTTTGGACGAACTTCAAAGTCTGAGCTCTCGCTGCGTGTTTCGCTTTCTTCCCTGTTGCGGAAGGCAGCAGCGCCTCCAACCAAAGGTAAATCTGAGCGTGATCGGGGCTCTCTGTAATTGTATTCTGCCCGGCTTCGACCACGACCCCCCCTGTTTCGGCCACTGTAAGCACCCCGGTAGCTCCGTCCCCTGGAGTAATACTCCCCTCGACCACGTGCTTTGAATGGGTCAGCAGGCCACTCTCTGTCCCTGTCCCTGTCCCTGTCCCTGTCTCTGTCTCGATCTCTGTCCCTGTCCATATCCTTCTCCCTCTCACGTTCCCGCTCTCTGTCCTCTCGTCGGTATGAACGTGGAGGAAGATTGGACTCCTTCCTGGAGGGCAGTTTGGGTTCTGGATGTTGGTCATTGCTGGGCGGTTTGTCTGCTTTCTCCTCCTGAGAGGAAGAGGTGGGAACCCCAGATGAAGGCTGAGGGTCTTTGACTCTTGGAAGGCCAGTCTGCGTTTCCTCAGCCTCAGCAGCTTCTCTCTTCCCCTCCGCCTGAGATCTGGAGCCCTCAGACACAACTGCAGCTGCAGACGGAGCTTTGGATGATTGATCCTTCTTGAAGCGGTCTCCTCGCTCTCCTCTCTCTCCTCTCTCCAATCTCTCTCCTCTCTCCCCCCTCTCAAGGCGCTTCTCTCTTTCTTCTCTTTGCTCCCTCTCTTCTTTCATGTCCCTAAGGACAGGCTTCTTTATTGGGCCAGACCTGCGGAGAGGTCTCTCTCCACCTGGTCCTTCTCTGCGTCCGGCCCCTGATCTTCCGCCCCAGCGCAGCTCGGCTTTCTGCTTGCTCGGGACTGGCAAAGGCAGTTTCTCTTGTTTGTGTAATCCATCAGGAGGTGGTGTAGCCCTGTTGCTAGTCAACGCAGCCTGGGGCTGGGGGTAGGGTTCATTCGGAGGCTTATCATCAGAACGTTCTGCAGAGTCCTGAATGTCTAGAGATGTTGTTCCCAGGGACAGCCCATCAAACCTGGGCTCATCCAGCTTGAGGGAGTGGCTGGAGCCCTGGGAGACGCTCCTCTGCAGCATCGCCTGGCCGAGAGCTTCTACCTCTTCCCCACTTGGGAGGCCTGCTTCTTCTGAATCAAAGGCTGAGGCCACAGGAACCCTGTCTAGAGGCCCCGATACATCCTCTGGGCCCGGAGTAAATGCTGACAGGGACTCTGTAGGGTCCTGGAAGAAGTTACTTTTGTGAGAGTCCAATACAGTTTGGTCCTGGGGAAACATAGTTGTTAGACCCCCGTCTAGATCCAAACCACAGTCGATCCTGTCAAATAGAAAATGGTTATTTAGTTACATGCATTAAATAAAAAGTTTTTTTCTTATGTTGTCATCTATCAATTATTTACCTCGGCTCTTTGTTATCATCTTGTCCTTTTGGAGGAGTTACAGAGGGTAAAGGCTCCGATTGTGGGTACGGTTCCGATCCCCATACCATCCGCGAGTCTGACGGCAGGCCATGGTCACGAATTGGTCGGGTCAAATGGTCAAAGGAGTCAGAGCTGGAGCTGGAATTGTCACCCGGTTCTCTGCGAACGATCTGCTTCGGAGGCATCCTCCCTGGAGAAGACAAAGGAGAGAGACTTTCAACAGGTTTTCTGGCACATCTGTAACCTTTCAGTACTTTCATCTCTAGGATACATTCTATATTGCTTTTCCAAAGAATTCCCCACCTTGGTGAATGTTAGCTGGCATGTCCATGGGAGGACGTCCTGACATAATGCGAGGGTCCATGTAGGACTGCATCATGAGCCAGCGGGGGTCAAAGCCCATGGACGCCAGGTGCTGGTGGTGGGGGCCAATGGGTTGATACATTGAGCGGTGTTGCTGCTGCTGCTGTTGTGGAGCTGGGACACCGCCTCCGCCACCTGATGGGGACAGGGAGCCTCCACTCTGGTGTTGCTGTTGCTGCCATTGTTGCTGCTTCATCTGCTCCTACAAGAACAGGGATTGGTAACAGAGACAAAACATTTGAATTGTATACATTACATTGCAAGTGTCTGTGTTTGCGTTAATGATGGCTCATCGTCATATTTGTTTGTTCTGACAACATGATGCTTTAAAAATTGCCATTAGGTCAAAACCTTTTTTAACTGGAGGGATTCAAGTTTGAGGATATAATCTTTTTTTTTTTTCTTTTTTTTTTTTAATTGTTCTTTGAAAACTGGCCTTGTCAATGACTTGCACACAAATTCTTATTTAACAAGCAAAATCACAGTTGCCATTAACAGACCAGATGTGGACATCCTTACCTGCTGTCTGAGGAAACGAGGAGGCAAAGACTTTTGAAACTGTTTGGAATAGCCCGAGTTGAGAGAGGGACGCAGAGCAGCTGCCGCTTCTCCTTCGAGTTGTGGCGGTGCCATAGAGACTTCCTCTCCACTGGGCAGGTCCATTTGAGGTGGAGACAGGTGGGGCTCATCCACTGCAGGCAGCAACTCAATAGTATTTGGATCTGTTACTGAAAGAAATATAGTCAGTCGCAACTAAAAAAACATTTACATGCAACCTTAAAGGAACGGCTCTAGTTAACTCACCTCTGTTGTCCTCCAAGTTGAAATAGTCTTCGATAGGCACTGCTCCGTCTACCTGGTTGTCCTCCACCAGGGTGCTAACCTCAACCAAGGAGTTCTCTTCCTCGCTCTGAGGCTCTGGAGCAACGGCCAAGGGTCTCTGGATCGTGGGACTGGGCTGACGAGGCAGGGGAGCCTCCTCCTCTACAATTGGTTCCACTATCTCGAGTTCTCGCTCCACTATCTCGTGTTCTCGCTCCACTATCTCGTGTTCTCGCTCCACCATCTCCCCATCTTGATCCACCTCTTCAGGTAGAGGCGCTTGCACGATTGTGGCCGGTGGTTGTGAAACTGGGATGGAGGGTACAGGACTGGATACGGGAGCAGGAGCTGATAAGGACTCTTCTTCCTCTGCTGGTCCTGCTTCTTCATTGGTGGTCTGAGAAAGGGCGGGTGTGCTTTCAGTTGACTGGCGGTGTTTTTCATTGAGGCGTTTCAGTTTTTCAGCACAAGCTGCGAGTCGTTGTTCTTCCATGCGCCGTTCTTCTTCATCTCTTCGCTTCCTAGCCCGTTCTACAGCTTCAGAAACTTCTTGAGGCTTCTTGCGCTTCTGTCGCCAGGCATCAGAGTCCTCCTCAGCACCAGGGGCTGCTGCAGCCGGTGGTTTGGTTGCACGTGGAGCTCCGCTTACAACAGAACGACTGCCGCCCTGGAGATGCAGAATTACAGATACAGAATTTTCTACTTTTTGTTTAAATAAACAGTGCCCATTGGAAGTGAAGCATGTGAAAGGATAACTGGTTTTACCTGGTAGTCCTGCGGTGCAGCTGACTTGTACTGCCCCATACTGCCAGGGGATGGCGCTCTGGGATCACCATCAGCCCATGAGGTTTTACTGCCCCCAAGCTCGGGACCCTCCTTCCAGCCCTCCTGACCCTCTGCTGGCCGAGATCTCATGCGCTCCACTTTACCCATCCATTCCCTGAAATGAATGAAAATATGTTATAAAGTGAACAAACAAAAAAACATCACATGACTCCAACTAACAATCTCCTAAAACATGCACATCACAAATGCTCTCACATCATTTGGAAATTAAACATATTTTTGAATTTATAGGTTAAATAAATAACCACCGATGTATTTTCTGCAATACTAAAGCGTTAGGGAATGCAAGTGTTTAAAAGTTAGAATGAAATACTAACCAGTTTTCTCTTTTTTCTTTATTTGCTTGGTTCTCCTCATCATCGCTGAAGTTTAGTTTCTCCGTGTAGTCCACTTCCATCTGGGCTCCTGTGAGGCAGAAAGTGTTGGATTGAAAGATGTTAAAATTAATCTGTTTGAATTATGAATTTACGCAGAGGTTAATAGGTGTAGCTACTAACCTGCCCAGCCCTCGTCAGTGTCTGTGTCTAAATTGTCGAGCCCTTTCAGTTCTGTTGCGCTGATGATGGAGGGCCTGTCTGGGTCCTTGTGCCAGCCCTGAGGGGGACCCTGCTGGGGTCTGGAACGGGGACCCCTGACCATCCAGCAGAAGAAAAAGCAGAGAACAGTCGTAAGGCACCTGGTCTAGTACATTCATATTTTCCTCTATTCATAGCTAAATATCAGTAAAGTATCCAGTGCTTCTGTGTGATTGTATCACACCTGAACTTTATTGTTTAGGGAACTTGGGTTCATTTCTAATCCTAAATATAATATGGTATATACGCTGCATGAATAAAACGTTTTTTTTTTTTGTTGCTGTTATTTATCAATTTCAGAGTATATTGTGTGTTTGCAATGATACAATTAAATACAAATTAAAAGTATCCTTTATTTTGGGCTAAGCCATGAATATGTGAACTCACTTTGCTCCTTCCTGTGGGACAGGGTATCTGAGGTTTCCTTGCCCTGGGGCAAAAGAAATTTGAGGAAATGCCTGGAACATCTGGAAGACAAAGAAAGCAATCATCAGGCTTTAAGAGATAAACACAGCTAGATACTTTAAATAGAATGAGCTCTATGAGCTAATAGAATGAGTTTGTTCAAAAATATGGAGCCGAGACTTACATAGGGTGGCATCATGCTCCTGAAAGCAGGGTCAAAGTGTGTTGGTACCCCAGCAGGAGGCTGTTGCCCCCCGTTGAGTTTAGGCTGAGAAGCGGGGACAGAGGGGGGCACCTTCTCCCTGCCGTCCTTTTTCTCATTCTGAACGTCAGCGGTTACTGTTCGCCCAGCCTCTTCAGCTTCCCCTGGAGGCGTAGAGGTATCAGGGACCGCACCCCCCTCCTCCAGAGGCCTGTTGTCCATCTCAGAGGGGCTGGGTGCAGTGATTAAATTCCTGCCTCCGCCCTCACGCCAACTGCCAACATCTAACGAGAAAAAGGAGGAGAGATATTAATTGACAGAGTTCTTGCGGTTCCTGAAGAAAAAGGGAAAGAGAAATCAACAAGTGGACCGTGAATGTTGTTTAAGGGCATGAGCCATACTTTGAGGTCTGAGGCTAGGTCCCGGTCCATAAGGCTCCTCTTCTGCACCATCCTCTTTCTCCCCCTCACCAGCTGCCTGCAAGCTAGGAAACTCCTGGTGAAATTGACTACTCACACGAGGAGCTCCTGTAGAATAAAAGCACATGGTTATAAATACACAGAAATCCCATTATGAAAATATAATACAGAGACTAACAGAGAATCATTTGGTTTAACCTTAGGTTGGTGTACAGTCCCATTTTCAACCTGATATCAGATTTAGTTCAAACTAATGATTCCTGCAGGCTGTAATGAGTGGGTTGCCTGATATCGTAAAGAATTGAACTAGACATACATAAGTGACCACTAATATTTACACATGCCAACATTCTGGTTTTGCTGTGTTTTAGAGATCGCAGAGGAGCAAAGTAAAACAACTAGAATGTTGGGTAATAGTGAGAAGACCTGCTGAGCTAACAGGAAAAGAGCTTATATAGGTTTTATGAGTTGTGTAGTGAGCATGGAGAAAGTGAACAGCACCTTCTATTGGCGTCTGCTTGCTGCTGGCCCAGGAGCGGCTGCCCACAATAGAAGGTTCTGGAGGCGGGACCACGGGTGGTTTGACCGGGGGTGGGGGCGTCTCCTGTTGCCTATGGCAGATGACAAGGACAGTTTCCAAAAACACTCATTTGAAACATGGATGACACACTCTACCAAATATTCCAGATATTATGTAGCCCTTAACAAACACACCGTAATTGTGGTGCTATAGCAACATTATGAATTTACCTCTCCTCCCCTCCCTCAGGTCGAGATGCCCAGCCACTCCCGTCTTTGGGGACGATGTTGACGTTGGGGTCGTTTCCCTTGTTCTCTGCCTTCAGACTGGGCAGGTTGGCCGGAGGGGGCATGCGCCGGCTAGCAGCAACTTTGCCCAAACTTTGGAGCCCATGTCTAGCAGCAACTAGAATGAAAATCAATTGTACATGTAGTAAAGCAAGGAAAGTACTTGAGCATCCTACTTGTTACTTTACTTGATAACATTGATTAATTGAAATAGTTTGCAAGAATAACAGGGAAACATAGTGAGAGCTTACCTGCAGTTTTCTGGGTTTCCAAAGATTTGCCCTTGTAGGTGTTAAAGAGGCTAAGGGTTGCATACTTTGTTTTGCCATCCTTTGCCTTGGTGCTTTGCCCTGACTTCTCTGACATTTCGATGTAAACTCATTGAGTCTGGTCCTTTGGCCTCGCCCCCAGAACCAGCCTCCTTTAGAGCAAGGGTGAGAAAAAAGAAAAAAAAGAACATGAAAGGTGAGAACGTTATTGACACTAGACCATAACACATATCGGACTTCCTTAGATGTTCCCCAACACCCGAGTCTGATGCACGTATAAAGAAAAATCTGCCCTGAACCCGAGCCTTAAACTAGATATGCAGGCCATTTCTGATTTGACCACCAAGTCAATTTGGAGGGGAGAATCAGGAAACAAAAAGCATAAAGTGGATGAGAGTGAGGAATAGCACAGACATAGAGACAGCTTGTTTGGGGCCGCAGTGTCTTTCCTAAGTCACACAGAGGTCATTTATTATTAACGGAGCGGTGGTGGAAATGTGTAAGTGTGTGTGTGTAATGGGGGCTCCATCTGCAACTTGGCCTCGGAACACTCAGTGAAGTAACATCCACTTGAAAAAAGATGGTTTTTAGTTTTTAAAAACTATCAAATGGAATGATAGGCCAAACTGATGAGAAACCCCAGCTTTTTTTTTTTTTAATAAATGTGTGATGCCAAAGTATGAAACTCCCTGATTTTAAAATAATAAAATGCATCATTGTTGTTGTTAAGTGTATTTTAAGGGCCTCAGCAGTGTATGGGCATCTGTATCTTCTTTTCACTGGTGTGCACAGGGCCATATTTGATGTGCTCCTTCAAATGAGAAAAAAAGTATTTGCAGGCAGCCATCGTCCAAATATTTTCTGACATTATTCCAGTTCTGGCAGTAGCTTCTGAAAATATTAAATTAAACAATCTCATCTCTTAAAATTCACAACTTATTATGAATTAAACATTCACAAACTTATAATTATGTATTCACATGTTTAACTGTTACATATGCACGCAACGAACAGAAGAGCGTAGGGCAGAATTAGGAGGGAATTCCGTCTCGTAGCGTTTGTGCACCGTTTTGAAATGCCGCTCTAAATTACCCTTCTTCGGTAAAGCCACGCTCGCATTGCAGATGGACTTTGAATTGGAATAAACAAAAAAATGTTTTCATTCAAGCTCTGCGTGTGTGTTTGGCACGAGCCATTTTGTGTGCGTGCGCGAGCGAGAGAGAGCGCACGCACCGGTGGGTATCTACCGGAGATCGTTGTGGTTAGCATCTGGTGCTAGCTAGCCAAGCTAACGGATATAAGGAGCTTTTTCAACAACAAGGTGGAGGGAGAACTCTCTCCTGTCAGACTGAGAGTCTCAGATAACCTCAGCTCAGGTGAAGTAAAGGACTCTCTCAGTGTTTAGATAGTTAACTTTAGTCTAGTTATCTCAGTGGGTCTCAAACGGTTTGGTCACGATTTATGTAAATAAGTATTTCCGAGGCACCCGTTTATATGATCAGTATAAAAAATAAGAGCATACATGAAAAACAGTTATGAAATACTATGACAGTAAAACAAGAATACAGTTTAAAAGTAGAGTGATTTGTAAAATATCCATGAAGAAAAAGAAAATCTGTTTACAGTTCTGTTTCATATGGGTGTTGAGAGCTGTATCCATAGATCTCTTAATGTTGCTCTCAAAGTGCACCAGATTGATGCTTTTAACTTCAATATTAAAAAAAAAAAAAAAAAATCTTCCCGGGGGAGCATGCCCCCGGACCCCCCTAGAGGAGGTGAGGATCCTCTTATACCCCATTCACACCAACGGTGTTTCAGGGCCGGTTCGGAGCTGGAGCTTGAAAAGCACCGGGTTTTCCTGTTCACACCGCAGCGGAGCAGCCTCTAAGCTCCGGAATCCGGTTCGTTTCGAGCACCAAAAAGTTGTCCGTGTAGAAGCAAGAACCGCATACGTCACGCTTACGTCGGAGGGGGGCGAGATTAACCTGAGATAACAGTTAAGGCGAGTACGGCAAATAAAAGTTGTAACCAGCAGTAGTGCTGAGCAAAGTGACTAGAACGCAACCACACACTTGTAAAAAAAAAAAAAAAACGCTTTATAAAGTCAGGCAACACTAACCAGGCTTCGTGTGATTCTGTTTATTTGTACCTTACTTTGACCATCCGTTCGCTGTTATTGATCATTGTGGAGAGCGGGCAGACGTTTTGTTTGTTATTTGTTTGGAATCAATACATGGGCTGCACAGGTTGTCATGTCCGACTATCACAAGTAGAATCATAATGAAAAATACGCCGGTAAAAAGTGCCTGTAGAAAACGGCTTAGCAAGTAGTCAGTTTAGCTTCGGTTGCTATGCTAACATCACCCATGTTATACCAGAGAAACTTTCATAACAGCGTTGTGATGCCAAACAGCGTCAATTCAGACTGACACGCATTCACTTAAGGGGAACTGGGGATATGTATCAGCTGCTTGTGTGACAGTCAGACAGTGAATACTTTAGAGCCGTGTGAGCTAACCCGGAGCTAATGGCAGAATAAACTCCCGTGGAAGTGCAGCCAGCAGTCGGTAAATGCCGCTGAAACACATTAACAAACAATGAACCACGGCACTCTGGAGAAAAGTATAAGGTTGGAGGAGTCGTTATTTAATTTAATCTGGCTTCGTATGATTAAAAGCAACACGATCATCGACCCGACGCAGTCCCCGGCCCGTTGTTGTGAGGTGAGCTCCGTTGGGGAGAAACTCAGCGACGTAAACTGTGACGTCATGACGCAGCAGCGGCAGCACCAGTCGGGCTCTCAGCGGTGTGAAAAGAGCCGGCGCTAAACCGAAGAACCGGTTCTGAACCAGAAAAGCTCTAGCACGGAGCTAGAAGGGGAAAAGCCTTGGTGTGAAAGGGGTATTATAGGAGGTTAGGTCCACTCCCCGTCTTGTAAAAATAGCAATTTACCCGTGCTTAAACCTATATGCCGTGAAGTGATTATCGAGCCTTCATTGTAACAGTAATAGTGGGTACACTGTATGTGCGTGTGGGGAGTGTTGCAGTAGAAAATTCAACTGTAGCGCTGGTGCATTAATGGGAAACCCTAAATGTTTGAGCACCCTCTATGAAACGTCAAGCTACCCCACAGCACCCCCTAGAGAAAATCTCTGGCGCCGCCACTGGTGTGCGGACTGTCACTCCTGTTGACACGGACAACGTCAGCTAACTAGTGCCCACTGCCCACCAGCCACGCCCCAACACATGGGGTCACGCCAATCACAAAGCTTTGATGCGTTCAAGTGCATTATTCTGGCACAGGAAGATTATGTTATAGGACATTAACGATAAAACAGAATATTGTTGTTCTATTTTTAGACACATCTCGCGATCGACTGGGAGTGCCCAACCAGTCGATCGCGATCGACTGGTTGGGCACCCCTGCTCTAAGCCAACGAATGAGTGATGAATTAACACTATCGAGGCTTTTTTTGAATTTGTCTTTTTCAGGAAACAAAGGCACAGATTACAAGATACACACTGCAAAGGTTAACAATAAAAAGACAGAATACAAATGATGTAGATGAAGCTGTAGATGAAAACTAAGCTGTGTGGCTTTTGAATGTAGCAGTGCAGACTAATCACAGAGAAATGTTTGAGAAATTGACACATGAAATGGTTGCATTAATCATTATTGTACATCAATGTTTCTGGTACAACTTTGTAATGTACAGCAGTGTTGCTTGACAGGAGTCAAAGGACTTAAATCAGAACAGAACCACTTTAGCACATACAAGTACTCTAAACTGCGGTAAAAGCAGTAATGGTCTGCTGATGACTGAGGGTGTTTGTCTGAAACCACCAGACATCACAAGAGAAACATTGGTTTTATTTAACCTGTCTGATATAAATCAAAGGGGTTACTAAAAGTATCCAGCTGGGTGGAGGTGTCCGCTGAATTATTTTATTTTAAAAATCTGAACAATTTTAAAAAGGGAAATCCCCCCCCCCCTGAGAATTGGCCACAATTCTCTTTGTGTGAAAGGTCAGTTTAAGAAGTATATGGCAGAAGATGGGCCAACCAGCCCAAATGACAGCAGTCCTTATACCTCTGTGCGACGACACACTAGTTATGTTATCTGGTTGCCAATGCCCTGAAGAACCATAGTGCCAAAATAAGCACTTCTCACAGAATGGATCAAGTCAGACTCCATCGTAAACTATCAACATATGGTAACTGTGGGCAAAAGGGGAGGGATCTTGGACTAACTATTTGAAGTATTTTCAGATAGTTGTAACAAGACCTAGCCAGAAAAGACTTGAGATCTGCCAGGAAGCATACAATAGCGTCCCTGCTCCCCAGCATGAACCTGCACCCCTAAAGCAACGTCTGCACCACAGTCCAGCCATCACTGTGAGCCATTTTCCTCCCCTTTACAACCACATGTCGGTGTTTCTGCCTCCAAGAAGCAGTTTGTGCAACAGTGAGCCTGTGTTAAGAAGGCTCCTTACAGATTTTCTCTGTGTAGTAAAACCAACATAGCTGGAATATTCCATCCATCAAACCATGTTTAGTAAAGTTATTTTTCTGTCATTAGCTGTAAAAAAAATCAAGTGTGTTTGTACAGGATAAACGTACACTTTAACAATGATTTTAACTTCACAAAAAAAGTGCCCCAATAGCAAATTATGAATCTTTTACAATAAAGGATCTACTTCTAGTTAAACTCAGATGGCTTCCCTGTAAAGTGCTCATGCACACCACTCTGTTTACAATGGGGTCATTGGACTGACCTTTCCAACATTGAAGTCATGTAGATGGCCTAAATGATGGGGGGGGCTGAAAGAACAGGTTGTATTTCCTTGTCCCCATTGGTTTGTCTTGTGTGGCTGCAATATGATGGCAATTGTAAGTATATACATTTAAAATAATAGAGCTACAACACAGACTAAGGTTGAGTATGTGGACGGTGAACTTATACATTAAGATACTGTACTACATGTCCTGGTGCGTGAACAGAAATATATTATTGTATCAGTTAACTGATTCCCACACTTTCAGCATCTAATAACTAATCTTCACATGATGTGTGTCAATGCAAGGGGTTACTTTTAACCAGAAGTATAACAAATGATGACCATGGGAAACCACTTATGTTCATTTTGTTTATCTAGTACCATAAATACCACAGAAATAGTCTCCCTTGGGAGTTGATGGTAATTTAATTCACACGTTTCATTTGATGTTCATGTGCTTTGGTTCAAGGGGTAAATGAACATTTGAAATGCAAGTTTGAAATATACACAGAACACGTTAGGTGACTAACAGATGTGCATCACGTGCAAAGTCAGTTAATTGTGAAGAGAATCACAAGACAGAAATCACTTGCATTTTTTGTCTTTGGCACAATGGCTTGAGCCTTTCATCTGGCAATGTTACCACCAGGATAATCAATAAGTACTAAACCAATCAATATATGCGGATGCCCTCCCTAAAACTATTCAGATGCTGACCCATGATTAATCATGGATGTGTATGTATAAAACACGACCATGTTGCCTATTAGTTATCCCCCAGGTGGTTTCCACTGCAAACAGAGTTCATTCATAATTTAGCCTAGAGTATTGCACACCCCAACCCTGCAAAGCCCCTTAATGTACAGACTCATACAAAAATAAAAAATAAAATCCTCTTTAAAGACCACATCCGTGTGATCCTAAAGATACCAAGAGTTTGAAGGTACGTGGCTAACCTGAATACAATACTAAAATCAGAAATAAATCATGATGATGTATTGTCTGCACAGGTCCATATTTCAGTGAAAATACCGAGATGGCAGCCACATTTATAATATTGTTTCTGTAAATCACATATTAAGCTGCAGGCCATTCTCCCCATGAATCAAACCATACTGGTGGGCTGGGTGGCTCACACCGGCAGGGGAGTAACGTTAGAGGCCCTCATCGCCCGGAACTCAACCAGACCGGGCTCAAATAACTCTTCAATTGGGCAAACGTCAAACACAAAACTGTGAATAGTATAATCTAGCAAACAACATAAATCTTGATGTAAAATATGAAACAGTGGAGATGTAAAGAGAGCAGGCCGACAGCTCGCATCGCTTAGCATAGTTTCGTTTCTCTCTAGTCGCCATCACATCAGCCCTCCACAGCATGCTAACCAGCTAGCCTAGTGTGAACCTCATCTACCGGGCAAAAACCTTCAAACGTTGCCCGTGCATGACATGCTGACTCACCTGGCACTGCCGGTGCTTCCTTTGTCCGTGCGGCTGTTGTGCGGCTTGATGTGTGATCCGATTTCGGCGTGGTTTGTGGTGCACGAATATGTGTCTGGCCGGCGGATTACAAAAGCGAGCGGGCTAGCCTGCTAACCCTGCTCTGCTAACGATGGTTAGCTAGTGTCTACAAACCGCTCTCCACATGCACGGCTGTGTGTCTTCTGTTTCAACGGTCAGCCTGTTCTAGTCTGTTCGGCCGTTGCTGTGGGAACCGGTGCGCGGTCGTCCGGTGTTTCCTCGTTATGCCCTCCCGTTATCTCGTGTCACACCGTTTTTCTAGTTGTGTGAGGCCCCGCTGCTCGCGCCGCGGCCTGTCGCACAATCAAAGATGGCAGACAGTGGTTGCCAGATTTAGCGTCTCATATCCTCCTTTTAAAACTCCTAACCCCCTGTTCAGCCAGGTGGTCAATGAGACATCCGTCACCAAGATGCAGCTTTTGTTAAACTTTCATTTGCAACACAATCATAGCATTTCAATAATATGTAGATATAGCTACATTACGACAGGAGATACAAATAGCTGGCAAATATAATTTGTCTTTTCATTTTATTTACAAAATTATAATTAGTAAATGTAGACCTGCTTTGGTTTTTTTTGATTGATTGATTGAATTGATTGATTGAAAAGTTTATTAACAGCTTGTATATTGGGTACAGTACAGTACAGCTCAAAACATACAATTGTTAAGGGGATGCAGACCAGAGAAAGACTTTCGTCTTGTTTACATCAGGGTCCCCCATTTCCAATTCATCATATAAATATTTTTAAGTTCCTAGATGTTTTTAACCGACGTCTGCGTTTCTGTAATTGTTGTGTTTATGGTGGTAAAGAAGTTGTAACGTAAACAAGTCATAACCAAACAGATACAATTACTGTGTATGAATATTCTGTGAAATGTACGGTGGTCATATCATTGGAAATGTCAAACCTGGCAACCTAAATCTTAACGAGTCACGCGTCGACGATTCTCCTTCCGGGGTCCACCGGTGGTTAACGACTGGCGGTTTCTTTGAACACTGATAACATCTATCTATCTATCTATCTATCTATCATTTATTAGTAAAAAATAAACCCTCTCATATGCATTGAGATCCCAGAGGGAGATCCTTAATCACATGATCCCAGTGTATGCATTGACACATTTCTATGATTGACACACAAAGGAAGGACTTTGCTTAGGTGTATTTTTTTCTCCAAGCCAAGCATTAGCTGGGATTTGAAACTGCCATTAGGTGGCATCATTGACCAATGTAGGCCTACTTCACGATCCAGCCTGGAGATAGAGTGATGTAAACCTAGGGAAAACTGTGCAAGGTCATATTTGCTAAAGTGTGTTGGAGTGCAAATTAAATTTGCTGCTCGTTTACTATTTCTCTTCTGCCTGATGTTACACTGAAATTACAGAAATATTACGCATTACCTTATTAGGATTAATGAGCTGTCATACATTTATTTTTTATTCATAACATTACATTACATGTTTTCTATGCTGATATTAACCATACCGGCAAATCAGAATGTGGTATAAAGTTTTCACTCTATATTCAATCCTGTGCAGGCAGGTAAACTATTATCTTGTCCAACAGAGCAGTTGGAAGGTTGTTCCTGTTGACGTAGGCAGCCCAGCCCACCACAGCAGCAGACAGAATCAGAGGCCACATGAAGGATCTCTTGGTTTTGGGATCATCACAGGGCCTGGTCTGCATGGGTTGAGCCACCCTCTCCCACTGAGTGAAGATGGCCTGACGGGCTCCAGCCCATTTCCCTGGCCCTTTGAGACGATACTGGTACGGAGTACCGGGTCCGAACAGCACCTTCAATCCCAGCCTGGGATCAGTCAGCAGCAGCCTGGGGATGTTGGGTCGAACCCCCAACAGTCCTGCGATCTCATCCATGTAGTTGAGATAGTCGACCTGGATAGTGTGTCTCTGACTGGGGACGTACCTGAAAAACAGACTTGAGCTAAACACAGTGTGGATAACAAGATTTGGTGTCTTAAGGAATAAAAACATTTAATTGTCAAGTAAAACAATTCACTATTCTACCTTTTAGCCATTGTTTCCTGCTTGCACTGGACATCTTTCAGCATGGAAGCCACTGGGGGAAGCTTGGTGCAGCCTGTTTGAAAGGACAGATTGTGACACAAATTACTTCGGTAACAGGACTTACTTAGGTATGATAAATGGTTTGCAACCTGTATTACCTTTAAAGACACGTGTGGCCCATCTGGCCTGCATCTCAGATATGGGCATAATGGCTCCCAGTGGCTGCACTAGACCAATGATAGCCAGAGTGGGGCGTTCCAACTCAGGAGGAAACACATACTTGTACAGAGATGCTTTGTTCCCAGAAACTGAGGTCACATGGGAGGCCAGGAATGGAAAGGAAAACCTGTAACCTGTGGCAAATACCTGCAACACCGGGGACTCATCTCAGTTACACACATCAAAATGTTTAAAAAAGCGCAGAGGAATAAACTGATTGTAAGTGTGTTTTTGTCAGTGTGTATGCACAAAACACTTACCACCAGGTCGACATCTTCCACAACACTTCCATCATCAAACTCCACACTGGACCCCTGAAACCTGCGGATGTTGGGTTTCACCTGAACCGTTCCAGAAAGGATGCGGTTGGGAAGCTCATCATTCGCTGTGGGATGTTGGCTGAACAACCTGAGATTTATATTCAGATCGATAAGTAAAAACTTCTGGCATGTCAATGAGAAAAACTTTTATAGTTAAAAAGCCACGTGTTGGATTAAGCTATGCTGTTGCTGCCATACCTGTGCTTTGGTTTCAAGTTGTACAAACTGTGATCAAATCTGTTGTCAAGTTTCCTCTCAGCCATGCTGCAGGTTAATCCAAAGGGAAGGATTTGGCGCAACAATAGAGTCTTTCTGCTGTACAGCATATCACGGGGAAGACCATTGTCTGCAACTCGATTTGCAATCCAAGCTCCCCTCCGAGTGCTCAGATATACCTGTAAATATAAGATACAAGTGGAAAATCATCATGCCATGCCATTGTCTTAAGATCAGGGAATCAAAGTGTGTGTCTATATGTCCAACCTGCTTGGTGGCTCTGCTCAGTTCCACGGCGATGTCTCCTCCAGAGTTTCCTATTCCAATAACTACAGCCTTTTTATTCCTCCACTCCTCAGGGGTCTTGTAGTCTCTGCTGTGGAAGTACGTTCCCTTGAAAGTGTCAATCCCTGGGATTGAAAATCAGACAAAATGCGTCACATTTTTAACATTATATTCATTAACTTTAAAGACTTTTGTTATACTTTATACAATGTCCCTCTGTTCTTGTGCTGCAGAGTGGTTATTTAATACATTGGTATTGGGTGATTTCATACACTGGATGACAAATGAATTATATTTATATAATTGTATCCTGTGCTCACAATCAAATTACATTTCCTACCTTTGAAAAAGGGTTGCAAGTAGACTTAGTCTCAATTGAAGGGGTCACAAGCCACAAAGGCTAGGAGCCAGTTACTGTATATGTACAATTCAGCAACATTATAAATCAAAGAGTCTCTTTTGAAACCAATTATACCAAGATAACATCATTTCCGTTACAAACGTTTTATTATCATGTAACTAAATATATATGACAGGGTGTGGCTTTGATGTGCAAAAGGTTAAACCTTACTGCATTGTAGTAAATGTTACAAAAATTCAGAGCACAAAATATCCTCGCATGAACAGTTTTTAATGCCCATATATGGTACCTGGGAAGTCATGTAGCGGCAAGTTTGGGTGGCAGTGATGTCCAATACAGATCATCACAGCATCAAAAATGTGTTTCTCCGTTTTGCCATCCTTGTTCTCCGTCTCAACATCCCACTGGCCTGAATCAGAGAAATCAGATCTCTGCCTCACCTGCAATACTTTGGTCTAAAAACAGAGAGGCAGACACAGATTAAATAGATGTTCATATAGATGCATCTACTGACAGTCAACCTTAATTATGCAACATTTTAGATTTAATATTGAGGTGCTGTAATTCTCACATTGAAGCGTATGTGCTTGGTGAGCTGGAAGTGGTCAGCAAACATCCGAAAGTAGTCCATGATGAGGGAGTTGTGCATGTAGTTGGGGAAGTGTGCAGGGATGGGGAAGTCACTGAAACACATCATCTCCTTGGAGGTGTTGATGATGACAGAGTGGTAGATGCTGGCCCTGTCTGGCTCTGGGTTCTCCTGCAATAACAGCCACGAAGATGGAATATATTCATCCCAACTCTTCTACTCTTTACTATACAAAGGTCCAATCAGCATGTGGTGTACCCACCTTAAATTTCCACAGACCACCAATGTCATCGCTGCTTTCATAGCAGACAGGCTCCAGCCCCTCATCCAGACAGCTCTTGATACAGGCCAGACCTGAACTCCCTCCTCCAATCACTGCCACTCGACGAGTCATACTTCAGCTCAGTAAAGGATTAACCAGATTGGCCTGGAAAAGTTTTGTTGACTGTGTACTTGGTTAGATGCCTGACATAAGGTATGTGACTAACATAAGCTAAAGAGATTTTCATATTTTGTTCTACAACATAAAATTAGTCAGTTAACACCCCAATGGTGAATAAAAACAATGGTTGCTCAAAGTGTTAGCGTATTAACGCTTCAACGATTATAAAAGTGTTGTTAATACGTGGAGATGATCCTGCAGAACAAAAAGCGTGAGTATCATAAAAGATTGTTTTCCACAGAGTATGTTCTGCTATAATCCATAAATCCAATGGAAATATCTATTTGAGTTTTGATGAGGAACCCTAGCCCTTGCATGTATTATTTCAGGGTTAAAATGTAAGAAAAATAAGTCATCCCTGCACCACTCTGTTTTGCACATTTCATCATAGTTTTATGTTTATCTGATATTATAAAATGTCAAAGAACAGTTTGAAGGAAATATAACATTGGTCATAAATGTGAATGAACTACAGCAACGGATGACCTGAATGTACTGATCTGTTGATTGCTGTTTGTACCATTTTATAGAGACCTGATGCAGTTCCTGAGCGTTTCCTTAATTTATGGTTAAAATCCTCTTCAGAATTCTAATGTAAAGACTCCTTCTCTTTATTTAGGGGGATGCTTTTTAAAACAGTTGTATAAATCAAAGCACTGGTCAACAACACACGCAGTATAAAGAGACTAAAATGTGTTTGTAAATGGGTGAAAATTAGCTAGTAGCTAAACCTGGTACTATAAAACTCTGCCCTTTTAATAAGATGCATTTCACCGGTACATTGTCCCTGACAATTAAATGTAATAAATAAAATGTGTGACAATGTATAAACAGATGTAAAAAGTTAAAAAGAGCACATTTCTGAAAAGTTGCACAGATATTAGATAAATATATTTTTAGACTTGTTATGAATTTACAATTTTGCAGGTTAATCAGATTCATTGAAATGATTACAAATATTAATTATTCGAAAAGCTAAGTGAAACCCAACTTGCTTAATCAACTAAAGAAAATAAATCAAATTTATTATTATAATGAGAAACAAAACTGACAGTGGGAATTAAAAAAACAAATCAACCTAACCCAATTGTCCAATCAATCCTGCAAATCTCTTACCTGTTGTGATGCAAACTCAAAATAACTCACTGTTGCAGAGAGCAGCCGGAGCAAAAGTGTGGATTAAATTCAGCTGACCTTTAGTATGACTTTAGTTGGTACCGGCATGGACAACCCACTGCACTCAAAGGTCCCTTAAAGTTAATACATATACATATTGTATTTGCAGAACAATAAAGCATGACCCTTTAGTCTAGTTTCAAGTTTATCATTGACGCTTTTGTCATAATCATTACAATGCTGGGTATGCTGGGCCTATAACTCAGGATATACCTGGTGTAATAATGCCTGTAGATTAATTAATATAATTCATTTCATTTCATTTTAACACACGGTATTATTAATCTCGAGAGGCCCAACAGATATTTTTGATTCACTTAAAGTTGGATTTTACAACAATATTGTTCAAAAGGTTCAAATTGGACCACTGTCACAGGTGAGAGCTAGGGGCATACTTTATTTTAAAAGGGGACCTTTAGATCAAATCTGTTCTTATCTTTTCATCTGAACAACATTTTAGATAAAGTCATGCTTTAGTGCTGTGTTTACAAAAAACATCAATAACCAAACATTTAATTGCTAAGAACATTTATTAAGTTTTATTAAACAGGGATGCAAACTCATCAGGTATGAAAAAGGTGACAAGGATCCGAGCCCCCCGACCCCACGGAATATCGGCTTTAAAATGAGGAATAACAGAGGATTTTAGCAGTCAGAACAACTAAAGCAGCAGTTAATAATAACAGAAACGCCAAAGAGTCACATCTAATAGAAATATATTTAAGCATTTATTTTAATTGTGGAGCAGTCAGTTTATAATTTTGGCAGGACTGTTGAGCATTTTGAAAATGATATTTTCATGCCTCTGTGCAAGGCTGTCTTTCTATCTTTAGTGGTGTAAAGTAACTAAGTTCATAAACTCAAGTACTATACTTGGGTACAATTTTTAGATACTTGTACTTTATTTAAGTATTTCAATGTTTTGCTACTTTGTTCTTCTTCTCCTCTACAGTTCAGAGGTAAATGGTGTACTTTTACTCTACTACATGTATTGAATACCTTTAGTTACTTCACAGATGTGGATGAATGATGTGAAATATAATCAAGTGTTAAATCAGACTTTAGTTCCACCTGGAGTAAATTCACAAGCTACCCTGCAGTATACAAAGTCATTCAAACTAGCTGCACCTTTACCAGCTTTGAGAACACTTTCATGATCAATCATTATAAAACATATCATATATATTATTCTGAAATGGACCAATCTGCACAATGACTACTTTTGCTGTTGCTACTTTAACTATATTTTGATGATAATACTTTTCTACTTTTACTTGAGGAACATTTTGAATGCAGGACTTTTACTGTAACAGAGTATTCCTACACTCTGGTACTTCTACTTTTACTCAAGTACAAGATCTGAGTACTTCTACTTTTACTCAAGAACAAGATCTGAGTACTTCTACTTGTACTCAAGTACAAGACCTGAGTACTTCAACCTTTACTCAAGAACAAGATCTGAGTACTTCTACTTTTACTCAAGTACAAGATACTTATACCACCTCCGTTTATAGGCTATGAAAGAAACTATTTGAAAACGAAGGCTAAAGCTAACGTTAACAGATAGTGACAATGTATGCTAGTTAGCTAGCTCAACGATTCATTAAATAATATTGCGACAGAAACACTTTTCAGTGCACATCACGCTCTGCTGCTCCGAACACCCCGTTCTAACCAGCGGTCCAGTCTGTGCCACAGTGACTCTGGACCGCACAGTTAATCATACCTGCCAACCCTACCGATTTGGGCGGTAGTCTACCGCTTTTGACATGTTTCTACCGCCTACCGATTTAGCTGACTCTCCCTACCGATTTTCAATCTTCCCAAACTACAAATAAAAATGACACTACATAGACACTGGACTCGACTTTTGGCGGACACCGTTTGCAGCGTGTCTGTGATCCCATCATACAAACAGTCCTCTGTGTTTCAGTCGATCGCGAGATGTGTCTAAAAATAGAACAACAATATTCTGTTTTATCGTTAATGTCCTATAACATAATCTTCCTGTGCCAGAATAATGCACTTGAACGCATCAAAGCTTTGTGATTGGCGTGACCCCATGTATCGGGGCGTGGCTGGTAGTCAGTGGGCACTAGTTTTGCTGTGCAGTCCGCACACACAAGACCACAATTATGGCAGAAGCAAAAGAGCCCCAAATATATAATTTTCACTCCGAGTGGGAGGATGATTATTTTTGTATCTATTCCAATTCAAAGTCCATCTGTCTCTCATCTGCAATGCGAGCGTGGCTTTATCGAAGAAGGGTAATTTAGGAGCGGCATTTCAAAACAGTGCACAAACGCTACGAGACGGAATTCCCTCCTAATTCTGTCCTACGCTCCCAAAAGGTGAGGGACCTGAAAGGACAGCTAAATGCACAGCAGTCCATTTTCACCAGGCCCAACAACAAGAGCAAGGCTGCTACCATAGCATCTTATCGTGTCAGTCACGTTCTTGCGAAACACATGAAGTCTTTCAAAGACGGCGAAGTTGTGAAAGAAGCATTCCTGGAGGCTGCCGACGCGCTTTATGGGGACAGTACAAATAACAGTAGCATTTCAACAGGTTTTTGATATAATAAAAACTCAAGTTAGATACCGTTATTAATCAGCTGTAAGTTTTAGTTTGTTTGAACTTATTCATTATAATTATTGTACAAAATGGTATAAGAATGCAAACTTTAAGATCTGTTCTGTTTAAATTGATTATAGTCTTATCAATTCAGGTTAAGAAACTAGTGTTGCTTGCATCCTATTTTAAAGGCATTTCTTTTTATACTCTACTAAAATGCAACAAAAAAAGGGTTTGATTCTATTAATTTTGTCTTTTTTATTGCACTTTGGCAGCAGATTCCTGTGTAGCTTCAGATCTGAGTTGTCTTATTAGTAAAACTAATTTATACTTTTGTAGCAACACTATTTTTATATAATGGCAAAGAAAGGGTTCAGAGTCTTTTCTTTTTTTCCTGTGTCATATGTGGCAGCACTGTTCAATGTTTCTTGAAAACATGACCCACTGTAGTATGTGACGTGTGAATAAACTCCAACTCTGTATCAACAACACTGTTGTGTAACTTCAGTTAAATACTTTTATGTGTGTAGATTAGAAAGAGGTAAGATAAAGGATCTGCAGTATTTTATGAAGTATTAATCGTACAAAGGTCAGTTTTATACAAGTAGAAGTGTGTATTTACCTGGTAGTAGGCTGTCAGTAATGGCTACGCCTCTCTATTTGGACTGGTAGATCTCGGCAGACTGGCAACTTTAAAAGTAGCTCTCGGTTCAAAAAAGGTTGGGCACCCCCAGTGGCGGCGCCAGGGTATGGCTGGGGTAGGCTACAGCCATACCAAGAAATGGCTTAGCCCCACCTTAGCCCCACCATGAAAAGTGATGCAAATTCAATTAAATAATAAGCGAAATGCTAAATGTTGAGAACACGGATTGCGAAAATATACGGGTCGTGTCCACAGCACACAAACTGATCCTGCTGTAACAACAAGTGCACGTTACTGATCCAATATGGTTGAGACCATTCGGGCTTATGCTATAAGAGGGGTGCAAGGAATAGTCCAAGTAGTGGGGGAGTTTTATACACTAAAGGTGTGGAAATTCTCTGGCGTTATAATATCAGCGCGGCCGCGGTCAGATCAAAATGCCTCCGAATGCAATTTGAATAGACCTACAGCCAATCAGAGCAACGCAACGTTGGATCTGCGTCATGCCTTATTGATTGAGATCAATCGAAACCGCCATTCAGTATCTCCATTGGATCTTCAACGTGTACTATCATACGTCACGTTCACAGTGATCCCTTTTTATTTACTACAAGACAAATGTGCCGTTTTATTTCATACAGTTCCATTTTGATTGAGACAGGGAAATAATCTAAACCTCACGCGTGGCGTTTCACTGCCAAGGGAGGCGATATAGCGTGTATGTAATTACATTGCAAATACTGACTTGAGCACCACCACTGTATGGGTTAGCCCTACCATAGATTACCCAACAAAAATGCTCTGGCGCCGCCACTGGGCACCCCTGATCTACACTGTCAAAGTTCAAGGTTCTTTATTGTCAAACTAACAGTGGCGACTGGTCATTAGGGGCAGGTGGGGCACAGCCCCACCTAGTGTCAGCAGAAAGTATTACAAATAATGATTACAAAAATGCAAAAAAATAAATAAAAAAATATATAAAATATATTTTAAGATCAAGTTTAATCATCTGATTCGTCTGTACATTGCTGTTTTAGTCTGTGTTCTTCTAATTAGTGTGTCTACAGTCACAGTGTGTGCCTATTGAGCTGTTTAGAGCCATGTGGGACAAAACCTGATTATGCCCCTTCCTCTCGCTGTGAAGTGAACGTGACTGTAAAAACTACACTGCGCATGCTCAGAGTATTTTTCTATGTAATGTGTGTGGCAAAAAAATAATGACCAGAGGGGCATGGAGCTACCATCCGCACCATACGTCATCTCAAATCATTCAGAGCTGATTGGCTGTAAGTACGTGTGCCGCGAAAAGTGTGCTGTGTGAAGAGGAGACGAGAGAGCTGCAGTGGCGCGTCCTAAAACCAGGAAGTAAGCACAAAAAAGCAATGAGATTTCTCCAGAGGATTTTAGAAAATAGCTCGAAATAAGATCTGTGGGAAACGTACCTGTTAGATAAATGCACGTTTTGATTAGCCGGATAACATCCACATGTCTACCCTACTTTTATAATTTTTTTATCATAAATCTATGGATTAGATTTATGATAGACTTTTGAAACTACAAGAAGATAAGGAGGACTTTTACAAAAAAGTAATAGAAATGTTTGTCCAGAAGGATAGGCAAATGGACTTCATCTTCAAGTCAAGGTAAGACCGCAATTTTATTGAAAATGGGATCTTACTAAGAGAGAACAATTCAATATTTAAATGATAAAATTACATTTTTTGGGTATCCTTTTGTTGAACTGTCTGTTTAAAATTAATCGAAGCATCAGACAAAAAAAGCTTTTGAAAATAATATTATATTTTGGTTTAGGTCAAAATATAATATTTGTAAACCTGAAGAGTCAGTGCCAGTGCCTCACCAGCCATGAACCTCACTGCACGTCACTGCAGAAGCTTATATATAGACATCTAAGTTTTTTGTGCCCCACCACTTTTGTACATATAAAAACGCCACTGCAAACTAACATAGCTACAGAGTAATTATGTTGTTGAAAATCTTATGTCACAGGCTTCTCCAACAATGCAACTGAAAGAGGACCAGAAACACATTAAAAATATAATAAAATGTGGAGACTTTGGGATATTTATCTCCCATTCTTTTACTTTTCGGGCATTTTACAGACCAAACATGTCGTTGATGTCACTGTTTACCAAACTACCACTTTTTCTGAAAAATACATAAAATGATGCAATATATGTTAAATACATGGTTTATACATGTAATTACTGGGGTTCCATTTCTTCTGATTACCTAATTTGGGCGTGCACATTTGC